CAGGGGAAAAGAGCAGGAAGTTCTTGATATAAGCTGCTATTGCCACGATTTTATAAAAACGAGGGCAGTTCTCATTCCAGTTACGAGGCAACAAGCAGGGGTGCTGAGATGGTCTTAGTAAGTTGTACCTCTGGTTTCTGTAACTGCGTTAGATCTTCTATAAGGAGTGGTTCACCTGAGTTATTTTGTCTTTTCCCCCACATTTTTGAAGAGCACAACTGTACTTACCTCAAAATTACCAGCAGGAAATAAGACATTATTCAGCTACTAGACTGATGTTTTGTCATTTCCTATTGCACAGCAAACATTTGACAACTGTCTTTATTGTATCTGTTCCATTAAATTTTGGATTCTTCTTGAACCGATTCATCCAGCCTCAATAATACACCTAGTTGGAAATATCTTTAAGAAATAGGAGTGGTCCAGTGCTTGAGGGACATTCTTGCAGCACTGTCCATGCTAGGAAATGGGTTAAGCTGAAAGCAGTATTGCTAGCATGCACAGAAAAAAGAAAATGGGTCAGTAATTTCTTTCTTCTTTTACAGGTATCAGTAAGTTAGCTGTTTAAGAAAGGATCTGCCAAGTATTGCATTAAAATCTTGTACTTTTTAAGGTCTACTGTATCTGGATTAAAGACAGCCCATCTGTGTTTACTTAGATTGCTTTTTTGGCAGGGCAGGGGAACAAAGCACACACTTAGCTAGCGCTCGATTGAGGCATTATGACGGAAAAATACTTGCATCACCTGGGAAGGAGGAATATGCCACTATAGATCTTTGTTGTAAAACTCTTTCAACTCCCCAAGCTAAGCCTCTCATTTTTATAATGCATATTATTTTTTTTGCACCTTTTAACTTTGGTGGACTCTTTTTTGTGGGTTTTTTTGGTGTTAAAGATGTTACCTGCAATATGCATTTGTCTTTTGTGTAAAATACATGAAGTACATAAGCACTGGTCAAAGGCAAAAGGTTGTTCATCATTTTTGTTACATTGCATACTTGTATTTTAACAGCCTGTTCACATGTGACAGTTAAATGCATGTAAAAGAAACTCTGCCTGAGTATTGTGAAGGGATAAGAGAGATTTTTCCTTGCAGGCTTAATTTCTACATTCTACCTGTAGACTGGTTCTGGATTGGTTGCATACTAAAATGCTGAACAGGCTTGATTTAAAATATATATATAAATTGAGGTCAACAGAAAGTTCATACTGAGTTCAGGGGGATTTGTATCAAGCCCTCAGATCTTTGCTCTGTAAGTCTATGCAGTCCTTGTTTGTCAGTTACTTTCTGGTCTTGCCATTTTACTGTCTTCTTTCTATAGATAATGAAATACTCATTCTTTCTTTGGTGAGCCTTGCAATTTATCAGAATTTAACTTCATCTGTGGTTGGGAAAAAACAATGCGATTTGCCACCGCTTAAAAACAGTGATGTGCCTTTCTTTTGTCTGTTTCCTAGTCGAGCTTTAGTCTGGCATTAAATTTTATTTAAGTATGAGCTTGCAACTTGGAAGAGCTTTCATCATTTTTTTGTTTGACAGAAAAGCTGTATATTGTCAAGGACTACAGAAGGCAAGCTGAACATAAATGTCTTTATGTAGGTGGAAAGGGGCTGGAGCTTCCAGCTCTTTCAGTCTTGGGTCCCTCTTCTGCAGGAGTGCCAGTTGGGTTTGTGTTCCCAGAGGTCGGGGGAGGTGGGTGGCAGTCCTGTTTCTTTATTCGTTCAGTATTTGAGAATGGACGGATAGCCATGCAAACACCTGTTCAACCTTCTTTTGCCATACTCAGGGTAATACTACCTGCTGTAGTTCTCTCCTTTTGACATCCCTGTTTACTGGCCTTTGTCCGTGTTTATGTTGTTCTTTGGGCTTCTGTTTTCCCTTCCCCCTCTCACCCATTTCCTCTTCAGTTTTTCCTTCCCTGCCAAGTCACTCCTCATTTTCATTTTGCATGCTGCCTAGAATACTTTCTCCTGAGTCTTTTCTAATTCCCTTTTGATTAGCTTTTTATTTTGTGCAGAGATTGCATATACAGACAAGAATGCTTAGAATTTAGACAACGGTTGGATAGCTTCCTAGCACAATCTGAAGCTTGCATTCAAGGATTTATGCATGTTACCAAAAATTGTCTTTAGGATAATGCACAGAGCTCCTGTGCTCCAAGGCACTTTGCTCACGTTAACTGGCTTCTTGAATCAAATACTGTTCAGGTGAAGTGGTAATGACATTGTGAAGGATATGTCTGCTCTGCTGTGGATGTTTTTGCCATGTTAAGTGTGAAAAATCTGCCAATAAATGGATAATTTAATGAGGAGTATCAGTAAGAACAGGATCCTGTTTCAGAAGGTTATTGAACTGAAATGGAAAATTTTCTGAAGACTGGCATAGTTCCAGTGCTGCTACCTGCCAGGAGGTAATAAAATGCAGTTAAAAAAATACTGCTATTGTTACAGAAACACAGCAGTATTGTTACTGGTGCAGCACAGCACCAGTATTTCATCTTACAGAAAGGCTGATGTGTACATGTGTACAGGAATAAGTGCGATTTCATGTAATCTCAGTAGTGTTGCATTAAGAGGAATGTTTAGAAAATAAAGTTCTCCCCAAAGTGTTAATATGATTTTGATGCTGTGAACACTCATAAAACCTTCAGTGGGGTGGAGAACCACCAGCGAAACCATGCTCTTCCCCTCAAACAGGGGAGATTAACTAAAACTCCAAAGCATGCAGTCCTTTTAATTCCTGTTTCTGTATTCCGCATTCTTAGATGCAGAAATTCCTGGATCTGTCAGTTATTTCCTTACTGTGTACAGTCATACCAGCAAAAATAGCCTATAGAATATTTTAAGCATCTGCTCTGGAAAATCAAGAGGCTTTAGTAAGAAGATATTGAAATTATTTAGAATGCAAGTAGTCATTGTGATATCCTTGACTGAGATGGCTATTGGCAGAAGTCGTCAGCTTTTTCATTTGTTGGGAGTCTAACTGCTTATAGATACATTTCTTTAAAAAAAAAAAAAAAAGGTATATATCCTATCTGGTCTGTGCATACAAATTACAAACTTCCTCTTTTTGCTTCTGCTTCCTCCCATCCTGATCCACTTCATGCACATCCATGACAGAAACGATGTTTGGTAGTTCTTCGTTTGCTGTAGCAGTTTTACAGCCTACGTTCTGGGGAACAGCTCTGCACCCTCAGACCCTCGTGTCTGCCCCAGGAAATACTCTGAAGCGCTTTGGCAATTCCTGTGGGTGATGTTAAACCTTACTTCATCTGCAAGTAAGATGCAGCAGGAACTGGTGTACCACAAATGCCAAGTCCTGCATGGACTTGGGCACAGCAGTCAGCAGTGCATCTGTGCGACCCTGGAGCCCTACCATGGTCCGGGCCGGACTGGTAAAGTTGTAGGCACAGGGTTAAGGGAAGTGATATTTTAGCCTCTTTTCAGAACCTATGAGACCACATCTGGAGCACCCTGTCAGCTGTGAGAGAGGAAAAAGTAAATGTCAGAGATTTTATTTTTGTTCAGTCACTGCTTTAAAAACTCGGTGCCTTAAATCCAGATCTTGTGCTGCTTGGGCTGTATGGCTTTTGTTTAAGTTCAGAAACCTAAGTCTGAAATGCACATCGGATCTGTCTAGAAGTTTGCTTTGATCTGTAGCTTTGCTTTCTTTTCCCTGGTCCCCTCATCAGGTGGACTGTGAGGATCGCTTTGCAGAGGGACTGCTGCATTTACAAGGTTAATTGCTCATCTTCATGGCTGCTGGGGAAGAAGGCAGTGGTTGCTGGGGCTATGGCTGGTTGGCACTTACCCTGCAAAGTTCAGTGCTTCTGTACGCTTCCACGAGACCACCCTGACTGTCCCTGACTGGTCTTTCCTGGCTCTCACAGCTGGTTCCCAGTAACTCTTTTCGCAGTTATTGTCCTGTTCTTCAGGGTGGAATAAAATGAAGACTGTCCAGGTGAAGCTGGTGGGATTCACATCTCATCCATCTTCTCTGGCGACTTTTTAAAAAAGCCTTTATTGTTCTTGTATTGCTTAGTGTCAGTAGTATGAGCTGCCATCAGTAGTGTGGTCTGTGGGGTTTTCAGATCAGTTCCCCACACCTGAAGTTAACAGTACCAGCACATACCAGGCTGCCCTTGGAAAGCATGTCCTCAGTTCAGGACAACTTTCTGCATTTCAGTCCTTGCAAAAGAGATGCCTGTGTCCGAACTAGTTACTAGAGGCTCCCTTTACTGTCTGTGATGACAATAGTCTCTTCTAGGGCATCATTCAGCTGGTGAGCGGAACTGCGTACCTCAGTGGGGAGCACTGAGTGACAGTCACGGGTGCAGACATCTGTATTTGGCCAGATGTTTTTCAAAGAGAGCTAGTCCTAGGTGTCCAGTTTGTTGGTTTGACTTTTGTGAGCCCTTAAATAGATCACTGGAAGGGTGATGCCAATGTTCAGGTAAAGGAGAATGTCTTGTAACATGACCTCTCCATGTTTCATTGAGGAGGTATTGAAGCATGTAGCAAGGCTTCTCAGCTAAGATCTGGACTGGCCTTCATCCTGGTCTGAAATTATCTCTTAAAACTCAGTGCTGCTGGAGTGTATGATAGCTATGATAGCACACCAGAGACGTCCATTGCAAGAGAGGATTTCTGATATATAAAATAGCAGGATTTATTCTGATACATGTATATATATCTAGCAATGCCAAAAGTTAACTGGAAATGGGATTTTGTGTATGGGAAGAATCAGGAAAAAATGTATGATCTGTTGCAGTACTCAAATTGATTTACAGGTTTCTCATTATTGGGGGAGGGGAAGGGCAAAATGCTAGTTTAATTATCTGGACGTTAAAAATGTAGCTAAAAAGATCTTCTGTGCAATAAATAAACATTTTCTAATTTCAGATTACTTTAGCACCATGAAAAAGTACTTTCTCCCATGCCCCAGGCAACTTCTTAAAGTCAGGACCTCATTAACTAAAAAATACTTTCTCTTGTTACAGTATATTCACTCATCGGGCATAATTCACAGGGTAAGTGGAAACTATGTAGAAGATGTTTATATTCTGATAATGGGAGTTGTGTTTGTGTATAAGCATGCTCATAAATATGCCTTTATAATGTCTCGGTTTGATACCTTCGGTTTCTTCATGAGTAGAAGGAAAAGGTGGTATGGCTACATCAATGGAAGTTGGGCACTCAAGTTGCACTGAATACAGCTTGGATTTGGATTTCTTAAATTACTTCGTGAAGTTGAGTTGTAATTCCCCATGAGAGCAAATAGTGTCAAAATTGAGATGGATAAAAGTTTTTTAAAAAATTAAGATTAAACTTTTAAAAGCAATGTTTAAATGTTGTTTAAACATCATGTTAATGTTCAAATTTAGGGCATGGGGGAATGAAAACATAGTGGAAAAAATAGTCCAAAATTTTAAAGCCTTGAAAACCTTGATTTTTTTTTCTGAAATTAAGCATCTGATTCTTTTTGAATCCCTGCTGTGTCTAAAGTCCACTTAAAATCGCTTTTGCACTGTGAAGGAGTTCTGAATGATGCCCTTGCAGTACCAAGCAGCATAACTTCCCCCAAAACTGCATCAGAACAGTAGAAACTGGCTGTTTGTAATAAAATATCAGGGGTGTCACAGAAAGCGCACGTTGTATAGTAGCTTTAAGCTAGACATGGAAACTACACAAACTGCCAAAATAATAGAATAAATTGATATTTTTATTTCTCAACTGCTGTGATCACAGTCTAAATTTACACTTGCTTAGACTTTTTCTAAGCTCCCTCTTGATGGCTCTTGAGCTACTTGGTTTCATTACAGTTCTTTGCACCAAATTGTTTCTCTCCAAGGCCACTCTGATCTTAAAACATCTCCATATAAAACAGTTCAAAAAGTTCAGAGAGAAGATTCTTCTAAACGTCTTGTGCCAAAGTGTGTCAAACAAAGGTTTGAAAAAGCTGAAGGAACATTTATTTCTGACTTTTTCTTTCTCTTTATAGCTGTGAATGTCTAAGAGTTACTGACGTTACAAAATCTTCTTAGTCATTGCCAGTACTCTTCTCTTTGCTGCTAAACTTAGAAGATCATTAGAAGTCTCTACACTAGCTAAAGAGGCTTAAGGGATTTTTTTTTTTTTCATATTACAGTCTCCATTCAATTGACTTTGTTAGGAAATTGATTTTCCCACAGAAGAGAGCATAGGCTTTTATGTAAAATCTTGTTTGATTCCTTCAGTACTCCTTCTAAGTTAAGTCTATCAGGATATGGAACCTTTTTAAAGTATATTTTAATATGCACTATGTATAGTCCAGAAATATCTATGTGAATCCTTAACTTCGTGGTGTTAGTATTAAATGCAATAAATTTATGTCCAAACCCCACTCATAGTAAGATGAGCGAATTCCTTCACTGGCAAGTATTTTCCTGACTTCTAGGAGAAAAAAATTTGATTTGTCTTGGGGGAAAACATACTAGTAAAAAACCAAACATATTCAGGTTTGTGTCTTTGTTTCTGTTATTTGTTATATTTAATTTTCTAATTTAGATTTATGACCTTTTTTTACCTGTTGCTGTTCTAAGTAGTTGTATGAAAACCATTAAACCAGAAAGAAAGAAAAGAAAGAGTGCTTTATTGTGCTTGCTGTAAAATAAGTAAGTAACATCCATTTCAAATCTGATTACAGGATCTAAAGCCTGGAAACTTGGCAGTAAATGAAGACTGTGAATTGAAGGTAGGATATGTTTATTTGAAAAAAACAGTCAAATGTAATAGAAACACACCACAGAAGACAACGTGTGCAACAGCTGTAGATGTGCTGGCTGGTTTCAGCCATGGGCCAGGCTTTCAGCCCACGGGCTTTGAGGAGTCATGGAGAAATAGGGGAATGCTGGAAATGAAAAGGATCAGATGGACAGTGGTAACAACCTTGAAAAAGATTATAAATATTTTCCTTATAAATATTTTCCCATTTGTCTGACTTCAGTCACCACAAGAATAATTAAATATTTAAGAAATAAAGCCCCAAAGAGTGAGAATCTATTCACCTTCTATTTGTATGTCCTTGACTGACATAAACGTGCATTTCATACGAATGGCAGAGGCGATGATGAATTTCTGAGATCATTCTGGAGCCAAGCACAAGAAATGGCTGTGCCTCAAGCTGGAAACATTGCCTGGGATGTCCCAGCTGAAAAATGTCCAGACAGGACACTCCGGGAAGGTGGTACCCAGTTCTAACAGGGGAGAGATGAGGCTTGGCATCAAGATGCCAGGGAGGATTTCTGGTGAGGAAGTCAGCACTGCAGGTTATTACATTCGTGGCATTGTTGGAGCTGTTGCTGACTTGGGTCTCTCCAGCTGGGTGAAGGGCAGTGTAAGACCTGAAACTGCTTCTGTGGGTTTGGCGTTGAAGGAGCAGCCCATGCCACAGGGGTGCGCCCACACCAAGCACGTGTGCATGACAGTAATAGTCACCTTTTTCCTGTGTGATGTGTACGTTGCAATGAATAGGGGTATGTTTTTATGCAGTCACTCAACTAAAAATACTTTTCAAGAAAAAAATCATGTCATGGTTACAGTCGGATAAGAGCTGTAATGGAGAGCTGTTTTTATGATATGTTGCAGCTAATCACTTCAGAGAGGCATGAGAGGAATCACACACTGCTCATCACGAACAAGAAGATCTTATTTCTTTGAAAGTGATTCCTTGTGCACTGTTACCACTAACAGTAATATCAATTGCATGTAGACTAGAGTATATTTCATAGCAGGAATATATCAGTTCTGCTTCATTTTTGCTCTTAGTCGAAGTAGTGAGAAAAAAATTCATCAAAGGGAGACAATTCCTAATTCAGCTTCCTACAGTTCAGCTGTTAGCTGTTTCTGCCACTACACTGCAAGACAGGTTGATTTGATGGCATTTTTTATATTACCTGGTTGCTACTTCTCTGGAGTGGGGCAAGTATTGGCGTGTACCATGGCTCCCTTCATCCTACCCATCGGAGCTGCCCTCCAAAGATGGGCAGGAGATTGGTGCAAACCCACACCCCTTCCCACTATGGAAACTGGGATTAGTTGGCATGCAGCCTTGGAGACCAGGGCTGTAGCACCCATTGTGGAAAGTTACCTGTCCTAAAGTGTAGGTGTTGCCACTTGCTTGGAAACGTTATCAGTAGAATCCATCTGAGTAGTAATTCTTCTCCTGTATGTTTGTCACCTCAAGCCGCCTTCTAAATTGTTGAACTGAAATACTGAATCTGACCAGTTCTCATTGCAGTTTCTTATATGTATTGGAAATCTTCCAAAGCCTGCTAAAGCAGATAATATTTCTACTTCAGAAACAATTTTGCAATGTACCCTGACCTATTTGGCTGTGTAGAATGACTTTGTTATAAAAAAGCCAATTATTTATTATGAAGTAGAGTTATGTAGTACTCAACACTGCTTATTTTAGGAATGTAGTTTATTCTCTTGAGTGTAGAGATAGTAGTCCCAGACTACTTCCAGTCTCCAATTAATTCTGTTCTTGTATTTTAATTTTTTATTAATTTTTAGAATTGTTTTCATCATCTATCTTCTCTTAGCTCTAGCAATCTGAAAGGCTAGTCAGGGTTTTTTAATTAATTACAAAATCAAGCCATGTCTTCTATCCTGTGCTTGAATCACAATTGGCCTATACATCCTCACAAAACAATAGTAAATTTGAATGGGGGCCTTTGTGTCCTGATATGTAAGTACATTTAGATCTTACGGCCAAGGTTTCCTCCCTAAAAGAGACATAAGACTTTATGGGAGTAGTTCAGTTACGTTAGAATTCCAGCTTTCAATAAATGTAAAAAGTCTAGCTCCGCAACCTGGGAGATACAGAAGAAGATCAAAGGTTGTGAAGCACACCCTTAATTAAATGAAATAAAAGTTGATGCAACACTGCAAAAATGTATTTTAGCATATAATGTACAAACGATATACTTGCATGTGGCTGTTGTAATACAATTTTTTTCTCTTTGGGGACTGACCTGAATGTTAAGCATCCTGTCATTTCAGAATTTCCCTAACACAAATAGCCATTGTCTCCTCCTGGCCTGTAGGTGGCCAAATGGTGAGTGGGTCCCAGATGATGGGGAGAAAAAGAGAATCTGGAAAAAACAGGTTGAGGTGTTTCTTTTCCCCACCCCCCCCAGCTGTGCAATTACATTTTGAGATGCAGCCCAGGTCTAAGACATTCTTCCATGATACAATCACTGTATCTCCTTATTTAACACAACTTCTTTTTCTGTTACCTTGGACATTTCTAAGCTTTTAGATAAACTGAGGCAAATAATTCCATATTACAACACATTTTTGTGAAATGACAAGGAGAAAATGAAGCAATAAGTTTTAGGTTTTGTTTCTTAACTCTCCAAGAGAAATACTCTCCCTGGTTGTACAATAAGCTCTGATACCATGTGCAGAAGAAAAGTACAAATTTGCAATTAGGAAATACTGGTTGTCAAAAGGCAACTGGTCTGTAAACAGAAAGCAAACTATAATATCTTGAGAAGTGTGCATTAAAAATATCAAGGCAAGGATTTAACTGGGATCTCTCTTAGACTGAAGGAGTTGAGCTGACTTCCCCCGCGTGCGTTTGGGTGCAATGGGCAGGATGTGGCCCTGCTCAGAGAGCGCACTTTCAAAGTGAATTCAATGTGGGCACAGGACCTTGCTGCCGGGGATAGTCCAAACTCTTTTCCCCCCATGTCTGTGTACTCAGCAGCTTCCCTTACATCAACTCTGGTGGCAAAGAGGCTATAGGTAAGTTGGAACAGTTCCTTGAATTGGTAATTAATTAATAAGGCTGCCTGAGGGGAAATCACTGCCCTTTCTTCAGTCTTGAAGTCACAAGTTATTTTTGTTACGGTTACTGAAGCGAGTTAGGAAAATTAAGTTTGCTGAGTAGAAGGGGAGCTTATCCTTGAGGAGCTGAGGGGAATTTGCTCTCTCTTTCATAATTCCTTCATTATGAAAAGGATTTTCAAACTTGCTCTGAAAATTGCTTTGGAAGTTCCCGCTGAAAAGTTGAAGATTGGAGTATGAGAATAATAGTTTCATGTGAAGATTGTTGTTGAAGTGGTACCATGTTAATATTAAGTACTAACAGGATACACTTGTTCCTGAGCCTAATGAATATGTAAATGAAAAGAAATCCTGAAGTTAATACATAAGGCACAAAAATTCTTGCTGTCATTTTCTGCTTTTACAAAAATATAAACCCAAATTATATTTTAGTTGTTTCCAACTCCAAGTGTCACAAGCCTTAGTATGGAAAAGGCCTAAAAAGCTTGGAAGCCGCATGTGGCTTTTGACCTGTTACATTAAACTTCCTTTTTC